CCCCCTTCCACCGTTTTTGGGGGTCCATGGGTGGTGCCGGGGCCGGGCACCCACGGCGGGTTGGGGGAGAAGGGCTTGGGCCACGGGGAGGGTTTCCGCGCCGGGCCGGGGGGGGGGGGGCCCTTTTCCCGCCATGTCCCCCGGAAACCCGGTGGGAAGAGGTTTTCCCGGGCCCGGGGGGTTCCGCCCTTGTTCGGCCCGGGACGGGGGATAAAAAGATGGGGTTGGTGGGTCGGGGGAGAAACGAGTTGAGAGAGGGAGGGGGGGGGGGGGGGGGGTGAAGGACCACCGCTCTGTTCTTCGGCGAGCATGAGGGGACGGACGAATCTCAACAGCTACAGCAACAGCAACAGCAACAGCTACAGCATCAACAAGGATGACGAAAATAACAACATCAACATCAACATACTTAGGTTATGCGTTGCTTACCCGGAACTGGACCCAGTCATCCAGCTCGAACAGTAGCTCCATCCCACGCCCTCCCACTCCTCCCCCTCCCACGGGGCCTCCAGCCCCCATTGTGGCCACCTCCTGGGTGTCATGCATCTTCTCCTCGTCCTCTCGTGCCGAATACACCTGGCGAGCCAACCAATGATTACGAAAGAGGGGCGTGAGAGGGGGTAGCTACATTTGGTCGAACGTGCTTGTCGCTTAACCCAGATCTCGGGAGACCCACGAGATCGATCGATGACACAACTCGACACACGAAGCTCACCCTATCAAGAACGCTTTGCGCTCTGGTGTGGGACTACTGTACGGATACCGCACAGAAGTTACGATCACCAAAAAGACCCGTGCTGAAGAGCCCCGTTCTGCAATCAGGGGCAAACAAAACAATTTGTTGGGGTCATTTCTCCACGCTCGTGACTTCTTCCGGGTCATGTTGAAACTGAGCTCAACTGACGAGCTGGAAAAAGTATCCGGGATTGTTAACAGGGCCACCACACAACAGTGACTATTTATCGAAATGAAATAAAATGGGGCGAACAGAGCAAGGCGTTGGTTGGCCTTTCGTTTATTTGCACCTGTTTCGCCCTCAAGTTGCCGCAGAGAAGAAGGAGCGCGAGAGGGCTGACCGGCGACGTGTTACTCATCACGAAGTTAGCTGCTGTCCGCGTCAACTCGCCTGAAAAAAACACAACATGCACGCGACGAGTGATTGGCGGCAAATCGAAATAAGCTAACGATGAGAGATTGAACAGTTTCCTACAACATGCACACGACAACGAGCGAATCAAGAGGCCAAACAAACAAACCTACCGATGGTAGACGTGACCACCAGCTTGAATGAACATCAGCCGTGAATCCGTTGACGACCCGACCAGGAGACCAGCAAAAAGCCCCAAAGCCTCACGAAACTATTCGTAACTGTAGGACTCACCAAAAGCGATGAACTCCGTCTGTCTGCTGGAGTTCGCCTGCCCCAACCTCTGGCTCCGAGCGGCGTTAATGGAAGACATGTGCAGCTGTACGTTGCGCAGTAACGGCAGACAAGCGGTGCGGGCGCCGCAGGGAAAAAATCAAGGGCAGATCAAGACAAAGCGGCGCAGAAGAAATGCCAGGAGGGAGAGAAGGGTGGCCAGTCAGAAGGGGGATACGCGAACCGGTTCTGATGGACATCAGCGGCTAGTGCGTGACTTCGTGCGAGAGAGAGGGCATTTGGGAAGTACGGTACACCAAAACAGTAGCGACCTCGCCATACGCACCGTAGGTAGAAAAAACATACCCGACGGAGGCCATGGGAGGACAGTCAAACCTCCTGCAAGACTTGGGGAAACGAAGGTCGCACGTAAATCGGTTGGGGCTTGGATGAACGAGAATGGCAGCATGCCACAACGCGCACACACGCAAAACTCCACGAAAATAGAGGTTGAACCGTTTGTAGGGAGAGGGGGCACGAGCGCTCCCGCGGTTGCACATCGCTGTCACCATCAGCCGTATCGATCCCTGGCTCGCACGCCAAAAACACACCAAAAAGTATCACAAACGTAGCCAACGAAAAAGCGATATATCTCACCCGTGCCGTGTGCCCTCCCAGAGTCTTGAAGTTTGTGGCACCCGGCCGCCGCATCGCCACGTTGGGGTAGAGTCCAGCGCACAGCACGCTGGACAGGAGGGACACGTCCCGGCTGTTGCTGTTGCAAGGGCTTCTCCTGTCGTGGGGGGAGGGGAGCGAGCAAGGGGAGCAAGACAAGACGGCCATCGAGTCTACTCCAATCAAAGCCGAGAAACTCATCCATCACGCAGAGGGCAACTAACAAAGCAGGATTACGCCAACGCCGATTTTATCAAGGAGACAGCGCACGCAGTATCCCAGCGAATCAAGCGCGTGCTATCGAAAAAACCAACAGGGAACCATCAAACAAAAATAAAAGTTTTGTCCTTCGTGTCGACATCAGCCAGCACTCTCACGACCACCCAAGTGTACAAAACAATATTAGCCCCAACTCGCGCATGTACTCATTCACCAGTCGTATGCCGACGGCAGACCCGAGCCTTGCAGCTCCCTCGCCACCTGCCCGCAGATGTCCCAGATCATGCCCAGGGTAGGGGCGCTGAGGTGCCCTTTTCGGGCAAGCGACGCCGCCGCCCCGGCCCCGCCTTTGGCCTTTGCGTCCGCGTGGCGTTCAAGGGCCGTGAGGAGGGCTATCAGGTCGCTCTCCGATTCCTGCAAACGCGTACGTGGGGAAGTCGTCAAGGGATAGCGTTGCAAACGCTGTCCACGAGGGGGTGGTTTCCCTCCCCGCGCCCCCTTGTCCAGTGCTTCGGCGTGTGGCCTTTCCCGACGACGGTATCAAGGGAAGAAAAAAATCGATCTCCCCAGTCAATGCCGTTGTACTACTGTCGAACATTCTGCCGCCTCAGTAAATTTCTATGTGTCGAGGGTTCCTGCCGGCGCATGGGCGAGCGCGCGCGGGGGGGTGTACTCATAGTCGTGCATGCTGTAGTTGTTGTTAGACCATTGACCTCGCATCACTACAAAGCCGGGACGGAGCACGCCGGGTTCTCACCGGACCAGGCTCTCACATCACCAAGCGCGAAGTGCCGCAAGGTATTCGACCAGTCGTATGAAGGGTGCGCTGCATCCTGCTAAGGGTGTTCGGCATCTTGTGCTTACTTCCTTGCATACGGATGACAGCTGCGAAAGACTTAATTTCTGGTGCTTTCAGTTCTAGAGACAGTCATGGGAACTGTGTAACTGCCTCGAGAGTGCGTGATCAATTTAACACAACGTGGTGCGATCATCCCCTTTGCGCGGAGCGAGGGTTCTCGGCCCCGCACAACATAATCTACTCGACCACCATTATGGTTACCGCAGCGTGGCTCTCGGGAGTCACACCCCCTCGTCGGGAAGGTGGTGTTCTCAGAGGAAAGCATAACGCGGCGCATCCCAAGACCACCACGAGCCCACCGTTGAGGAATATGGGTCTTTTGTTTTCGGCACATGCACGCACCTGAGCTAGCGCTATCTTGGCCGACTTGGCGTCCCTGCGCTGGGCGGCGTTCATGGGCAGCACGAAGGGGTCCTTGTAGGTCATCGCGCACGCGGAGGTGAGGGCGGGACCCGCGCAGCCCAGGAGGTAGGACCACAGCACCATCTTGCCAACCCTTTGACGCAGGACGGATTGTGTTGCAGCGGGAAATGGCAAGAGTGCGGGAGAGGGGTAAAACAAGAATCAAACAGAATGAGGTTGAGCGAGCCAGAGGGGTGAGGTAAGTGGCCGAGGTGCGGTGGACCATCGTTGGACCTCGCCAACTGTAACGAGACGAAAAGGGTGGATTGATCCTAACGCAGGTCAAGGCGGTAGGTCAAGCGGCGTTTGATTGAGGCAGGGCGGAGCCATGGCCTTTATCAACTGACGCGTCGATTCTGTGCGGCCGCCTGCCTTGCTCTCAACGGCGGGCCGGTGTGAGTTTCCCGCCAACAAACAAAAGACACACTTAAAAATGTTATCATCTCTCCTTCGATCCGAGTCAACGCGCGATGAAAGCTCGTGCGACAACACACGCGTTGCTTTTACACAAGCTTAACAATCGCTCGCCATCTTATGAGGTCTCCTGGGAGACCGCAACATGGCCAAAATTACTTGACAACAACAGCGGTGTGTTCAAACGTGAGGTTGACGGCACTGTCAACCAGCCTTGTTCCGAGGTATTCGTGTGATGATGGAAGGCTGAAGACCTCTTGTAGAGTTCGACTACAATGTAGTCAGAGCGTGCACTGCCGAAAAACTGCTGTGTTTTCCAGATATCTGCTTCATGTTCCATGAACCCACCCGATGTTCCCCGAAGCTGCCCTGTGTGCCGGGCAACTGCTCAATGTTTCAGTAACTACTTCTGTGCCCCAGGTAATATAATGTGTTCCAAGCAACTCGGTGTTCCAGGTACCCGCTTCGTGCCCAAGAAGGACTCCTACCTAGGGTCGATGCTGATACCGGCCAGCCTTGCTCCAAGGTCTGTGAGCTCCTCCCCTTCGTCCAGAGCACCGAGGCTTTGCAGCAGCTGGACGGCGTTTCGGAGGGACAGCTCCGCGGGCGCGTCTATGGCCTGTGCGTGTAGAACGGGCAGAAACAGCAATGGAACGGAAAGAAGCAGTTGACCATAAAATGATCGAAGCCCGTCGCGACAACAAAGCGCTCGAGTTTATGGCTTGCGCATGTAGAATAGGCAGAAAGACCGGGCAACAAGCAATTGAACAGAAAATGACAAAATCCATCACAACCGGATGTGAGGCATCAATAATACAGGAGAATACAGGAGAATACAGGAGAACACAGGCATCGTTGTTGCAGACAGGGCGCTAGAGTCCGCTCCAGCGGGGGATACAAAAACAGAACGGAGAGCATCGGACCAAACTGGCAGTGTTGACTGCACGATCGGAACGAACGAGCGGCCAGGGGCAGTGCCTAGATATTCTCACCAAACGTCGACAGCCCTTGAGAGGACGAAGGACAGCGACACGGGCGACGACCCCTAGATCCAATCTATGGCTGCTTTGAGGGTGTCAATCGCGGGACGTGAACCGTAACTCCTACACTTGAATCAATCCCTCTTCACCACGCAGCAAGCGACGCGCAAGGGCGGGACTGGTTTTATGTCAGAGATCGCAACCTTTCCGCGCGCCCTTGGGGCATCACGAGGTTGGTTCACCAGAGACGACGAGGACTCTCTCCTGCGCATGATGCAGGCGAGTTGTTCCCGATTGGGTGTACTCCGGAGTATGGCAAAATATCAACTCGGGGGGGGGGGGGGGTTCATCGCCCTGCATGCCGTAATCCTTAGACCACCGACCTTGCACCGCTACAAAGCCGGGACGGGGCACGCTGGGTTCTCACCTCACTAGGTTCCGACATCACCAAGCGCGAAACGCCGCGAGTATTCCGTGAGTCGCATCGGGGGGGGGGGGGACAGGAAACGCGACAAACGCGAGACCGCGCGGCACAAACCTGAGAGAGGAAGCCGGCCGCTGAGTCTGGGTCTCCAGGCCCCCCATTGGCGAGCCCTAGCATCTTCGCCTGCAGCACCACCTCCTGCTCATCGCCAACAAAAGAACACGAAGCACCGATAGGTTTCAGCACAGAACAGGCAAGGTTCGTGAGGCCATTCGTTGCGCACGGCATCGAAGCTCACCATTCAACAGATGTTGACATCACTTCGGGTGGGCACTGCCCGTGCCTTCCTGTTCTCGGTGTATTGGAGAGACTCAGATTGTCAGCCGTCTTGTGGCAACGGGCCCTCCTCACAAAGGAGCGCGCGACTACTACTCACAAAGGCGCCCAGCTTCATCACGAACACTATTTTAGCTTCATCACGAACACTATTATAGGAACAGCAACAGCAACGACAACCACAATTCGAGACCAACAAACAAACACAAAGTATCACCTCAAGCGGCGTGCGCAACAGCTCCGACTCCTGATGCTCGCGCAGAGACTCGTGCCTGAGAGCGCTGAATAGGTGGAAGCAGACGCCGGCCTTTGTGCGGCCCGCCCTTCCCCTCCGCTGCCGCGCTGAGGCCTTGCTTACCCACTGCGGCACTAGGGTCCTACCCACAACCGTTGTAGCGGCAAGGTGGGGAGGAGAAGGGGTTGCGGGCGTACCTGTTGCAAAACACGGCTGGCTACAGAAAGGTTTTTGTGTCCAAAACCCAAGCAGGGGGCATGGGATGAGGCTCCACCATCTCTTGCCGCGGGATGTTCAAGCAACAAGGAACACGGCATGTGCGTGCATTCCATGGCCAAAACATGGAGGAAACTTTCTTGTGTTTTTTCTTGTCGAATTTCTGCCCTCTTTACCGACTCGGCCTTCGCCGTTGCGGAGGTCTGTCTGTCTGTCTGTCTGTCTGTCTCACTTGATCTTGAGGTGAGGGTCGTAGCTAGATTCCTTGGCCCTGCCGCTGTCGATCACGAACGCCACGTCGTCTATGGTGATGGAGGTCTCCGCGATGTTGGTGGACAGCACGATCTGCCGGTTGTCCGAGGCGAAAAAACATATGCGAGCTTATTTAGTAAGCGAGCAAGCGAGCGAGCCAGGACGTTTGGGTGCAACGTAGTAAATAACACATTTGGGTCTAGTGTCCCCCCTCCGAGAGGGGATGAACCTCCTCCCGCTTTACTAGAAACGAAGCGACCGAAGACAAAAACCTTGCACAGCGCCAGCGATCGCCTTTTCCTCGACATGAAGAAGACCGTCGCGGGGCTTCCTTCTTATCGAAGCGACAAGAAACAACATGACGTCACTGCTGCCATCACCGTCATCGCCGCACCTTCCTGCAGCCCTTGGGTGGCCTGACGAAGACCTGCCTCTGCTTCGCCGTAGGCACTCCGGAGTGCAGCGGTAGAATCTGGAACTTCCGCTCGTCGGAAAAGTGAAGGGATTGCCGAAGGAAATCTCCCAATCTATCCCGCCAACAATCAAACGAAAATAAAACGGGGAGGGAAGGACGTGGGGAACCTGTCTTTGCGAAGTGAACACGAAAGGGGGGGAAGTGACGTCGACAAACGAGGAAATCCGTCTCAAACCCCCTTCAACTATCGAGACACCAAACATGAGAGGAATGACACACAATCTGGCGGCGCCGTCGCGAGATAGACAATGACACCCTAACCCCCTCCCCCCCGCTTCCACCAACTCCAGACCGCAAAAAAGTGCCGCGACAACACTCTCTCTCCCTCTCGCTCGCCTCGTGATGTCGTCCCACCCCGGCAGGAACACCAACACAGCGCCGTCCTCGTACGCCGACCGACAGATGTACCGCAGCAGGCACTCCACCAACTCGTAGTCGACCGCCTCGTCGTCGAAGGCGAACTGGTAGCGGGTCAGGAGCTCCTCCGCCCTGCCCGTCTTCGCCGCGGCGCGCTCCGCGCGGAACGCGCCCCTCCCGTCCCACCTGCGGGTGGAATGGCGTATAATAGTACCATGGTATATGAATAGCGGTGAGGGAACGCCAGGCGAGACCCATGAGGTTCAGATGGCGGAGGAGGTGTACGGTAAGGCGCGCGTGGTGGTGGTGGTGGTGGTGGTGGTGGTGGTGGTCTACTCATAGCTTTGCATGCGGTACAATAGTCGTTAGATCATTGAACGCGCGGGGGAGGGGGGCCTTCGCAGAACGAAGTGGGTATTGTGGCCTGTGCACGGACTATTTTCCCGTGGCTTCTGCTGAGGGAAACGCCATCTCGTGGATTGAGAAAGGACGGTGCCGTATCACAAAGGACGAGGGAAAGAGAAAGCCACAAGCTGGTCGGCCGCATTGACAACGAGGAAGCGTGGCCCGCCTGCCTCCATCCACTGCGAAATGCCGCGGTTCGACTCTCGACAAAGCACGCAACGCTTTCGCCACGGAATGCCGAAACAACGAAATCAGAGGACCCGGCCAACGCTCGCCAAGTCTGCTCACACATGGGCAAGCGAGGCCAAGCCAGACGCAAAACTTCGGGAAAAATGACGAAGAAAACGTATACCTCACCACACGTCCAACACATCACGGGACATGGCTCCCCAAAATACGGCCCCGACTGATCTACTGCCCGGCACAGCACAAGAAGAAAAACAGGTGGGAGCGCAAAATCACCATGCTTACCGCTGCGACGCTAGAGCGTCCTGGAGACCATCCATCTCATCCTCCCTCGCGGCCAACTCTCCCAAGTATTCTTCTTCCTCGTCCTCCTCTGCCACCGGCTTCATCGGCGGTGCAAGAGTGATATACGATACACAGGGTGGGGTGCACGTAAGGGATGCGGCTTGAAAAGGGAGGTATTGCATCACACTGCTGTGCCCTCATGAGGCTACTCCGGACGGGAGCCTTTGGAAGAGTGGCAAATAAATGTTGTGCACGCGGGTGGAGGGTGCCTCTCTCGAGGTAAAAGCTACCGACAAAAAAAAGCACATTCGGTCGAAACACCGCCTGCGCATCTCGATGAACGAATGCTCCGCTCGCACTTCCACTGAGCACGAACCACCATGCCACGTTCAGCACAACTCTCCAGCACCCGGGCCTCACTCTCCGATCAGTCGGTCGTGAGGGCTGGGACCAGGGCTCAGGGTTCTAACGTTTGCTCGGGTCGGGTAGGGGCGTGCGTTTCATGGGTCTGTGAATCAGAGAACCCTCTTACTATGCATACCCTCTACCTGTGAGACACCGAGTGTTAGGAGAGGGGGCGCGGTGGGTGGTAGTTTGCAAACGCAGGCCGAAGGGGAAAACGTGGACAAACAAGGAAGCCGAGCACGCGCGCGTCGCACGAGACGAACCTCAGGGTCTCCTCCGACGCTGTCCGCGTCGAACTGCGCCATGTCGATCTCCTCCGCGTGCCCCCCGGGGACGTTCGGCCCCGCGTCGGCGTCGCCGCTCCCGTGCCACCCGTTGGAGGTGACAGTACCACCACTTGCGCCGCCGCCGCCGGCTCGTGCCCCCGACACCACTGCGTTCCCGTTAGCATCGGACGTCCCCCGACCGGAGGCCGTAGCACCGGCATCGCCACCGCACACTGGTACCGCCGCCGCGCCCACTTGCGACGGCGGCAGCGGCAGCGACACCGGCGACAACAAAAACGGCGGTTCTCCTCCTCCGGCCGGGGAGGCCGCCACCGTCCCCCCCCCCCCCCCCTCCCCACCAC